AATCTTTGACGAGGAAAACTAGCTACACTTTGAAAACACCGATTAAAATTAAAACTCGAAACTCTTTGATTACTCATAGGAAATCTATAAGATCTCCAAGAAAAAAAATACAAAGAATCTTGGACAAAATAAAATATTATGGAACTGGATAAGACTTGTTATGACACATGCATTTGTAGGCCATTGGACATGTCTCGGCTTCTTCGAGCGATGAGCAGACAAAGCTAACTATAACCAATCGACACGGTGTGCACGATCCACAAGCATGTGAGCAATCCGGTAACCTCGACCCTGCAATCTGAAGCGTATCAGCTCTTCTGTGCATCAATGGTGCCCTCTTGTGATCCACATAGAAATCAGGTTTCACACTTGCTTCCTTCTTGCTAGACAACACTCTTTGATACCGATGCCCATTATCTGATCGACAAACATAATGTTAGTTTGATAAAGACAACCTTCACTAGTCAATTTCACTTTTAACGACGAAAACTTTAAAACTTTCCTTATTTCGCGTAGTTAAAAGTGAAATTTCTTCTACTGTGAACAAGAAAAAGAAAGAATCTTACAGGAGTGTAGCTTGCCAATGTGCCTTGCATGGATGAATAACGGAAGGAGGAGAAGTACAAAGCAAACTACAGAACTCTTCATCATCTTTTTTCTTCTCAATTAATTAATTGAGCTTGTTCAATCCGAAACGTAACACTTTGTTGAAGAAGAATTGCATAAGATCGAAGAATATATATATAAACGCTGGGATAGAGAAGATTAAAATGTATTGAAGCAAATCACAGGCAAAAGTGTGAGATGTGAAAGGTCACATGAGCGAGGGTGATGAATTTTGAAGTCACACTTTTAGGAAGAAAGGTTGTAATGAACAAAGTTACTTGTATGAACAGTGCTTATTTTACGTGAGTGTAATTGAATTGGGAGACTTGAATATGGTCCAGCAATTGCAGTATTAAATGCACACAACATTTCCCAAGTTAAAAATTGCAAAGAGCAGTAAATTGTTAATCTGACTAATGTGACTCTCATTAATGTTATGTAAGTTTTTTCATGCCATGAGAAGTATTTATTGCAACCTTTTTTCAATTTATTCCTCATTTTGTTTTTAATATTGATAGTATAGCAATGTTCTTTGTGGTAGTACCTCAGAACTAGCTAGTCCTACTAATTGGAAGTTGGAACGGGATAATAAATTAAGTTAATAAGTTGGACTAGACTCAACAAGGTTAAGAAAAAGTATTACACAATATTTTTCAATTAATCATCGATCGAGTTCACTCTTTTATAATCGAGTACTCCAATTAGGGGTTGGGTTGGGTTGGTTTTGGCCTCAACCCAACATAATCGATTTGATCATAATTTAACCCAACCCAATCCAATTAAATATCGGTCGGTCGGGACAACTTGTCAACAAAGATTAAAGTAGGCGGATCGGATTGGACAGATTTATGATTGACTCATAACTTATATAATATTTGGTCTCCATAGTTGCAATGAACAAAAAAATCTGAATGATTTTGGCATTCATGTCTGGAAATGTTACACGAACAGCTTGATATTAAATTATATGAAGTTAAGAAATGTTTTTTTGTGTTGAATATGTATTTACTCATACTATTTTTCGTAAAATGTATTCTATCCAATTCTTATAATATTATTCTAAGAATTTTCAAACAACATCATAACACTTGTAAAGTTCATAAATATGGTCGGGTCAGGTTGGGTTGGGCGGATTTATTCGATTTTTATGAGTTAACCCATAGCTGGACCTAACGGGACCCACCTCGCCTACACAACCAACTCACACAACCCTTGTAAAAACAACAAAAAAGCCAACCTAAATAGGTCAGGTTGGTTCGGTTTGGGTGATTTTGACGGGCTCAGTCGGATTTTGCTCACCCCTAACTCCAATTTACCTAATATGCTAAGAGAATTGTAATTTTTAATTTATAAAATTATAGCTAATCACCTTTTCCAAAAAATAAATAAGGGAGACCATAGAAGACAAAGGATACCACAAAAACTAGAAGTTATAATTTTGGGTTCATTTTAGTAACTGAAAATCATATTTTTGTTTTCAAAAAGGTATATTTAATAATTCGAAATAATGTAGTCAAAATTTAAATGATTAATTTATTAATAGTAACCCAAGCTTCTATATTGAATAGTAACCCATTTCTATAGTTGCAACCTTAAATACACATTCTTTAGGAGGTTACTATAATTGTCCACTAGGTTGTGACCCTTCCAAGGGCAGAAGCAGAGTTTTAAAGTTAGGGAGCACAATCGAACTTGCAAAGAAATTGAGAGAAATTTTATAATCGAAAATTTACGTTCAAAAAAATCATACTCCGTGTAATTTTGCATCTGAAAATTTACAAGGGATATAACTTTTTCGGATGTAAAATTTTGAAAATTTTTGATATTATATTCCATAAAAAATTTCTTAATAAAATGATGAAAATCACATTGAAAAGTTTGTATAGCAAAAATAATAAATGTCAATGAAATAATTGATTTTTTTTTAATGCGAGTTAGACGTCTTTCTTTAAGACTCACGTTTAATGTATTTTTAACTATTTTCGATATACGTTTGGACTATTCGATATGCCCATAAGCAATTTGAATTGACATAAGCAATTTGTAGATTCGATTGGAGTACAATCGTCGGAGAATTTTTAAAATTAGCATGTTATCAAAATTCAAATTTATTGTGATTTTGTCCCTATTTGGTGGAGATTAAAATCAAATTTTTAGTAAATTTTGATAAAAATTAAACAGTTATAGATTCCATGAAATATGTTATTAAAATTAATTGTTAACTTTGATTTAGATTAAAATTCAGATTTCCATGGATACCAAACATGATTTTAAAAATTAAAAAAAATTCTCAAAAGTTGAGGGCACGTTCACCCTAGGACCCGCCGGCGGACCCTTCCACTCATTTGTTGAATTAGACATCTCATGTCACGACAAAACAATGATTGATTATTTTTTACCTATGAATAATTTTCTCAAGTTCTTTAGGAAGTCCTCTAAAATTTTCATTTGTAAGTGTATTAACATAAGTCAATAATTTTTAAAATTTCTAGAATAATAAGATATAATCTTTAGGAAAATCCCGTTGTCTCAGTTTTAAAATTATTCCATGAATAAATCCAATTTTAATTAATCTTAAATAATGGAAAATAATGTAGCCCTCCTTTAATGAGACTGATATAATTTTGATATGAGGTAAATATCGTATTTTTTATAACTAATTAGATAACGGATGAGGTTGTAGGTATACATCCCTAAAAACCCTTTCCCACCTAATGCGTGACTTTAGTGAACCCAGTGGTGTTATAATTTAGTCTACATGATATGCCAAACATTTATCCATCAACCATTCATAATAAACCAACAAAAAGTCTGCACGTACGGAGAAATTCAATAGAAAAATGCACAGCAAGACAGCTATTGAATTCCCTATACTCATAGCATATCTCTAAAACCAATTTCAAGATATAGATTCAAAAGATTAGTCAAAACCCAATTTTGGCTCACTTTACAAAACCCTTGATCTTCATGGCCCAACAAGCGAAGCCCTATGTCTTCAGGCTCTTCACTAAGTGTCACCATCTAGTCATCATCGCCCTATGCGCCACCACTGCTCAAAGTATATATCGGCATCGACGAGTGGTGGAAGCCCTAAAAAGGGCCAATAGTGTCACTTACTGATAAAAATGGAAGTGGCCTCCAAAACACCTCTTAGATTTCTTTACTAGTTTCGAGGAAAAAAGGGGGAAAAAAAAGGGCATCTTACAAATATATGATCCGAAATCGTTTTCCCGTGTTTTTCAAGGTATCGAGATCGATCTTCCGAACAAAATCTCACTAATGGCACCTCAAAGAATTTGATCTAACTTTTAAGGGTAGATTATTTGCTAAGGATTTAGGTTACTCATTCATAATCAAGTAGAGTCTTAGTTTCAACGATCACGAATAAGTTACCTACACAGCCCCATTCGATTGGCACTGATCACGTCGTCGTTCTTATTCTCAGTAGTAAATAGACAAATTCTAATAATAAAAATAAAATCTTATTAAGATAATGCATCCAATTTTATCCAATGATGAGATCCATATATTTTGACACTGCGCAAATTGTATCTCACCATACTCAATGCACCAAGTATACAATTTGAAAGTCTCTCGTGATCATGGATACTCATATTACCCGCTTATAGACAATAAACTAAAATGTCAAACATATACTTGTACTATCAATTCGTGCATGTTTGGAAGTAATTTTCAATTTGACCAATTCTTGGCAGTCGCCCAAGACTCGAAATTTACGACTTTGATTTGTCTAAATGGTGTGACTATGACTCTTAAGTTAGTTGAGGGTTGAGATACAAGAAAATACAGCACTTA